ACTTTAACATGTTAAGCGTTGTATTTAAATGACCCCGAATTTCCCCTTTTCACCTTCGCGTTCCGCCTTCACTGCTCACGGTGCCTGTTGGCCTTGGCATATGTCTTGACTGCATGCACAGTGCATCGGACGAATTAACCGCATCGGACGAAGCAATCCTATGTAGATAACAAATATGAGTGACCATCGTTACATTTGAATATTTTCCGTTCAAGTAACAAAAGTTTCCATGTGGTATACCTTGGTAATTGATTCATCCGTACACTGTCAGAGGTTTGGTTGTCATGGAAAGTGACAAGCATAAACCGGGTACGTGGACGAGACTGGGATACATGGATTCAAAACGTTCTCAGTATCGCAAAGTTAAACTACTAGCTAGGAGCCCTGATACAATCACATTCAGATCGTTTGTAATCAGTATCCATAATTACATGAAATTCGTCTGTGGCTCAACAGAGTGTCCCTGCATCATTCCCATGAGAACATAATCCTGCTGGTACATATCTTGCGACGGTGGTCATTGGATGGGCCTAAAGTCAGCGAACTGGGACGCTAAGAAAGTGCGTTCAGTTTGGGTACTTCCGTGTGCTTGTTGATCAGCGGTTGGTTTCTCAGTTTCCAACTTTGGATTGTTAACATCATTTTCACACTCTTCATAGAAGATGAAAGTAGTTAGTGCACTGGAATCATTATATTTTGGCACGCGTATCTGAGCCTAGAAAATAAACAGAGATCGATCGTCTCAACCATGATCAGTATCCAGACTCAAGCTGCCTTCAATGGCGGGGTGTACATTGCGCTCCAGTGGCCTTCACTGGCCTTGAGATCGAATCTGGTTTTCAGAAGGTAATATATAATTGTGCCTATATACCTTTTAAGTTTGCTTTGATAACCAACATTATCAACTGTTTTACTTCCGATCTGAATGCGATGAGAATCGGAAAGGTGTATCCACATAAATGTGTGAGGGCCGACTACTTAACTCAGAAAAATAATTCCTAAAATTCAGAGTAAGTAATCACAAGCACTCAAAATGGTTGACCTGATGTGGTGCTCGAAGAAGGCAAATCTACGTGCCGCTAAAGTTTTGTTGTAATGTTCAGAGATTGGACCGGGAAATTTAGCGTGCAGAACACACCAATTTATTCACTTGATGAAAATGGCTACCAAGCATTGGGTGCAATTTGTGGTGCTTGCCTGGATTTTCTGATAAATGATACCACTGTGCACTGCCAGCTCGTGCATTTTGTGCAAAGCAAGCAATTTGAATTCATTCGGGGAAAGAGCTGTGCATAAGTTTCTGTGCATAAGTAACCAAAGCAATTTCACTATTCCGTTCAGGTTATATCACGAATGTATTCTGAGCGCCTGTCTCTGACAAGAGTATAAAACCAAGTGAGAACTCCGAGATGACATACTGCTACGAAATGCACACGTCGTCTCAACCGGAAAAGACTTGTTTTATTCATCTCTTTGGTATTCATCTTATCGATGGACTCAAACATTTAAGGGGCAATTTTAACGATAATTAAAAAGAGGACCTTTTTTATGGATATGTTCTCTTAAACAGAACCACTGAGGGGAAGCATTCGTGAAAACTCCCTATGTAAAATACAGTTCAGTTGATTCAAACAAATAGTTTCATTACGTCAATAATTATGGAAACGTAAACTGAAGGGAATACATTTTAATCTCAAACAATAATTTGCTGAAAAAGAGTGGCCATATTAGCAAAACAATAGATAAACTGGCATGAATTATGAACATCACACACGGATTATTTTGTTACTGAGTAGCACTCAATGATTTGACAATACTAAATTAAAAATAACACGATTAAACAAATTTGAGCTACGTTGAAAAAATGAGAAACTCGGTGCATGTTGCGACCTCATTCAGGAAACTGGTTGTATGCCAACAAGTTTCTTTGCGTAAATCCACCTTCAGGTATTCATATTTACGTGTATTTTTATTAAAAATGTACCCCGCAATATACTTTGGTCTGTATTCTGGGTTTGATCTGTGGTAGTCAATTCGTCAACTGAGGAAAACGAAAGACTGGAACGTACTGAATGAGGAGGGGTTGATGGGTCAAATCTGTGGAATTCTGTTGACCTAAGTGTGGTGAAATCGATTGCAATTCCTGACGTCATAATCGCGTGACAGAGGACACGATCGAATTCCGTTTCTAGGTCAACTCAAGGCTAGAATGCTTCTATCAGGTTGTCTGCGGTGTACACAGCGCTAGGCAAAGTAATTAGTCTTATTGCTACCTCTTATGCCGTTGCTAATTGACATTGACCTACACGCTTCGATCTACCGAGAGGTAGTTGGGATATGATAGAACTTGGAGTTTGACGTTCTCTGCCTAATGCGGGGTTTCTCTCAGGTGAGTTACGACTGCGGTTTTTTGATCGTTTTCATACACCCCGTGCTCAATCAGGTCAGTTTGTGTACGAAGATGCTGTCAGCTGTGCGATTCCCACTGTTGTGAGTTGCACTTCTCTCTGAGAATAAAATCATTCGTGCCGCACGCATGTAATTCGCCAAAACGGACTGTTCCCTATCAATGAATATACGTTTTGCAGTTTCTAAACATTCGCTGGATTATAGAAACCAGTGGTTTGCAAACTTTTGTTTGACTACAGTGCGTAATTAGAAGATAACCATCTACAACTTAGTTTCAGTCAACTACTTAGTCACAACAACCAGTCTGGATTCCAAACTTCATCACCGACCACAATGCTCCATTGACAATTATACTTTACAGTCAGTTACTTTATCCGTTCATCAAAAGTACTCTGATTTAGGAAAATCGGATTTCGACAATCTGAATTCAAATAATCAATAAATAATGAACCACGAAACAATGGAAACCGATCGGTTGTACCAAAATAAAACTATGCCAACCAATGAAAAGTTAACTTCACAGTACAGTCCTATTACATTGCAATTCAGGCATTGTCACTGAATGTGTTGTGGTATAATACTGACATCAACTTGGTTCCTGAAGAAATTGTGAATGTTTGTCCAATTTCTCAATCTCAAACATCCAGTTAGAGAATAAAAAGCCTACCTCGATTGATTTAGGCTAATACCGTTAGTTGTTTCTCACCTGCCCTTAGGTAACTCTAATTATCCTTCAACCGGGGCACATTAGGTTATATTCTGCTTTCTGAAAACCCCAACAAACAAGCAGCACAACTATTGTTTAGTTAAAATAAAAACCATCAAAAATTGTTGCACTAACTTTGTTCAATTAAATTTTGTAAGCCTAAGACGAGAGAACTTACCTGAAATTTTTCTATCACAAACTGGCAATCTGTTTTCACCGGCACTGTGTCAATCTACACAGTTCGTTGCTTAGAAATAACTCCATTTCTAGGTGTTTGTTCTCACTGCAAACAAAATGCCCTCGTGATTGGCGTTGATCGGTTTAAGCAACACCGGTACAATATCCGGTACTGCCTGCGCATGAACAGCGTCTCCATTAAGTTACTAAGAATTGGTTAGCTACACATCAGAATCGGACAGACTACGTGCGGCTTTAGCACATTAACTAGTTGCCTCTTGGATCAAGCTTTCCCTGGTGCACTTTGTATTTGTGAATAATTAAGAATACTATGTGCCTCCTCCACATGGTATGGGGGGAGGGACTAGGCAGCAGTTTGTGATGATTTACATGTCATCACCACCTTTGTACTAGGAGTTTTGTGACACCCAATGTGGGACCAGGTGACGCTGACTCACTATCAGAAGTTGTTCATTCTGTGACCAATATTGTAAAGCACGATGCTTCCAGNTGCTTAACTGGACATGAGATTGCATAGTGGCAAAGTAATACATATTTTCCGCGCTTTCCCAGTGCGTCAACAGTACGATTTAAGTTGACCCGTGTCTAGCAACTGTTTCCATTTTAAAAGTTAAATGGTTGTCATGAGGAGGAATCGATCCGTGAGTTTCTTGTCTACAATTTATCCAGTGTTAAGCGCAATTTATAATGCAGAAAAAGACAACTTCTTAAGATCCTTTTTGTTTCTGCCACGTTTTGATTGCATAAAGAGCTTTCGAAATGCAGTATTTCAGACTGTGAGAATCGATCACCTTGCAACAGTCTCCGTTGACAACGTGTTTCAAAAATATAAAAAAACGAATTACTTGGAATAAAAGAAAGAATTTTT